AGGGATATTAATTGGCCACATCTACACAAACCACTGACCACACAGTTATTTAGTACTCGTTTATATAGCTGTTGGCCTGTACAAATACTAAATGTGCAGTAACTGGAGTTACTGTGCAGTAGTGCCAATGAACAGCTTTTTTGTGACACTGACTGAGCAGTAGCCCGAGACTACCGTGCAGTAGCATCCTGTCAGAGTTTCTGCCATGCAACGCTACTTCGCAGTCAGCATCTTGTGTAGACACGGCCACCGTATATCAGCAGATCCACTCTTGTTAACCTGCCTGTCCACTCAATCCGCTCCAAGTGGAAACTAAACCAAAACAATTTACCCTTCAATGAAACAACTGTTAGATTACTGCAGTAATTTAGTTTTCAGGCCAACAGTTGCGCTGAGACTGCAGAGTCCAAACCTTTTTCTCCTTCTAAAGCATAGGCACAAAAACAGAAGAAGTCAAGTTGGTGTCCTGTTGCCATTAAATGTAAAGCCTTTGGTTTTCTCTTTCTCAGCTCCTGCTGCCCCTCAATCCCCTGAAGCTCCTGTGTGTCACCTGCCTCTTCACCTATGTCTCCTACCCCCCCTACCAGTAAGATTATTGCCTCCCATTCTGGCTACTTTATGTCCTTTCTAGTAACAAAAAGAACACCAGGAAAGCTGGTGTAACAGGAATAATAAAGATTTATCAGGCAGAAGAACCATCAACCTGCCTAGGGCTAGTGTAGCCAGCTCAACTGCTCACTTGTTGCCAGAGCTGATGCAAAGATGGCTTTAGGCCACCATTCTCTCCTCCTTCCCAAGTGTAATGCAGCCAGACCTAACGGTCTGGCCTGTGGATCAAAAAATAATCATGGGGCTGAAGGTATGAGGATATTCATATTATTCTCCTACTGATGGGACGAGCCTTTGTAGAAGCAAATAACTGACATGAAACTTGATGCAAAGCTGACTGGGTTTTGGATCAGATAAGCAGTGAAATTTCATAGGGTACGCAGCAGTGATCATTAATCACTGCAACATGTTTGCATTTCACAATTTTAATAAACTATAAATGACAGCTAAGGGCTAGTTTGTTGTTGCCTACTGTGCATTCTGTTTCTAGAACAGCTTTACTGCCAGTCCTGGGGTTTTTTTTACCTGAGTCAAAAGAAGATATACAAATTGAAATATTTTCCTCCTCCCACATATAAACAGAATATGGAACAACTTCAAACTACTATTGGGAAATACTTACAATTGCAGTTTATAAATTAGTAAAGCAGTATTTTACGCTTGGCTTTTAGACTGACATTACCTTTCAATCTTCTTCATTATTACATCGTACCTTATCTTGTGTAACTAACTTACATTGATGTCTAACTCATTATGTATGGATTTCTTCTGGAAATGTAGTTAATTCAAACATGGCTGCAGTCTTATAGCAAATGTTTAGAACTCCTGCTTTCAGCACCTTTCCATATGTGTTATACCTGTAACATTTAATGTCATTTTTCAGAAGGATTTTGGTTTTTTATAAATACCAACATTTTAGTTACTTATTTTGTGTATTCAGTTAGGTTCTTCTACTGTGCAGAGGGCAAAGGAATAATGTAAATTTAAATACATGTTTTCTGTAGTTCTAGTTGCCGGTCACCTTGGGGACTGTCTTAGATCCCAAGTTTGCTAAGACTTAAGCAGTGAAGTTTACTTATGCTGATTAGTCTTGACTGGCAGTGATTGCAGGATTCAAGCCTTACTGCAACTGTATCTGTAAAGGCATACAAACATGCATGCACATAAATATTGTAAGATATTTAATACAGACATTCAAGTGCAGATTGCAGTGTCTCTAAGCGTTAACTAACTCATGTCAAATTGCTAAAACTAACAATAAATCTTGCTTCTAAACCATGTCTTTACATATATGTCCTATCATTATTTTTTACTGGGGACTAATGCACAAACTTCCTGCATGACAAAAGACAAACCAATATACTTGTGTGTTACCATAACTGAAGCCAGTGGAGTTTTTAACAGAGGTCCAATTAAATGGAGCTCCTAGACAAGACAAATCCAAAGGCCTATCTAAAAAATATGTCCCTCACAAATATCTATTTCTTGTAAATACAAGCTGAACAAATGGTTAAGAAAAATAGTGGAAATTTTTGTTGGTGGGTAAACAACATTTCCACCTTGTTCATTCTTGAAAATAGTTCAATATGGAATTTTAACAAAGAACAAGTTCTACCTGAACCTTCAACAGAATAAGAAATGGGCTACACACTTCACCTACAAAAATACTTCTATATGTCTGTAAACATAATTAGTTTTTAGCTAGATGTGAAGATGTTCAGTAAGATAGGTCCAAAATGTACATTATCTTAAGAAAAGAGGGTGGAGAGGAAGACATGAACATTTGTATGAAAAAAAATCTTCAAAGGGGGCAAGGTTTACCATGAGCCAGAGCAGAGATGTCTTCTGTCTTAAATGGTTAAATATCAGCTCTTAGATTGAGAAAAATAATGGTAGAAAAACACTGAAGTTGACAGGACAGTTACCTCAAAACTTTAATTGTGGCTCAAAAATATTACTAGCCAAAGATGAGCAAAAATACAGAAGAAGCCTGTTTTATGGTTGTGCTATCTTGTAATCTTTCCACACTAACCTCTTCTTCTCTTTTGAACAAGAACTCTGAAATTAAAATAACTTCAGAAGAAAACATCAAAGGCAGTATCTTCTCATGGCTGAGGCAAAAAATGAAGTGATAGAAGAGAAGTTTTCTGAACTCAGTGGTTGGCTGGATAAACTGAAGAAACACTGGGAAAGTCAGAGACAATAAAATACAGGTGAAGAACAACGTGGGGGCAGTCTGGATATACCAATTTCCAGGTATGACAGGCAGATATTTGTGCATAAAACTATCTAGCCTTAACTGTATCATGCTGTAAAGTATCTGTGTCTTAGCACATGCACTGACAATACTTGAACTCGTAATGAAAAAGTCAGTGACAGAAACAGCGTGGGAAATCAACCCAGATTCCTTATCTGAAGCCCAGGGCAGGCATTCTGTGAATGGCAAGCTATTCAAAATATTCATAAAGAGAAAAACTTTCCTTTCCGTAAGCTAATGGCCAATTCATTATACAGATAATGCTAAACAAGCAAACACAAAGCTAAACCCTTTTTTGATGACTGAAGAAGTAAAGAAGCACTTTACGTTCCTCCGCTTATATTCCAGGAAGCACAAAAATCTGGGGGCAGTGTGCCAGGCATTGTATCAAGCACCTCTTACAGGATGGTGAACACCCTTAACATTCAATGACGCCAGTAAGAACCCAGGGCTCTCATTTCATTCTAGGCATAGATCCAAACTACTGCTAAAGGCAAAGAAAAGTGCTGACAAAAAGGCTTGCAAGTCAGAAATGATGATAACTAGCCTCTTATCTTCTACATGAAAAGATACTACCTTTTAATATTTGTGAAAATGCCACTTAACCCTTGGAGCTCCCTCACACCTTCATGCTGTTTCTTTTTTTTTAATATCAGTATTCTCAAAGCAGTAAAATATACTAGTGTAGATAAGTCCTTACTGATGTTTCACTGGCTTAATATGTGCCTTCTACTACACCACCTGCTTTTCTACCACCTCCTTTCTCAATCCCTATATGCCTGTTACTAAGGCCTGTGTCACCTGAACCTGAGTGTCATTTTGACTCAAGCTTCTCCCTAAGTGCTCATACCCAGAATATATCTACAGTTGCTAATTTCCTTGCTGCCTATGATTTTTAAAGCAGTGTTTCTGAACCAGGGTGAGGGTAAGGTGCTGCCAGATCTTTTGAAGGATGCCAGAAGATGAGGAGATAAACATGACTCATGCTTATCTGCCAGCTCTGCCCCGCCCTTCCGTGCTCTGTGTATGAAAGAAAGCATGGCAATAAATAAATTAGTTTCTGAAATGGGGTGATACTCAATTTACAAAAGTTATGGAGGGGTGCCTTAAAGCAAACAAGGCATGCCTTAAGTCTAAAAAGTTGAGAACCACTGCTCTAAGGCATGGTCCTTTCTATTTGTCTATACAGTTAGAACTCTGTTCTGGCTGAGACCTGACTACAGCTGAACAGATTTGAATAATTACCATTTGTGTGTCACATGTAACATTCTTTTAATACATCCCAGAATGAGATTTGCCTTTTTTTAATAACTGCATCATGCTGTTGACTCTCATTTAGTCTGTAATTCACTACGAACCCCACATCCTTTTCTGCTATATAGCTGCCTATGCAGTTATTCCCGATTTTCTTTATATTTGTGCATTTGATTTCTCCTTCCCAAATGTAGGTTCTTGCAACTTCTATGAAAGTTGCAAAAAACATTCTATGCATATTGGGGAAAACTATTTCTCCAGTTAATCGAAGTTACTTTAAATTTGGACCCTGTCCTCCAGAGAGCTTGCAATCCCTTCCTCTCCTCTGGTGTCATCTGCACATTTAATGTGTGCTCTGCGTTCCAATGTTCAAGTCTTTAATAAAAATACTGAATGCAAACAGGGTCCAGTACAAACACCTGTGTAAACTGAAATGCTGCCTTAGTGTAGCTGAAAACCTTGGTAACTACTTCTTGCATGTGTTTTTTCAAACATTTGTGTTTTTCTTCATTTCTCCAAGAGAGAGTTATGGCATGAAGTCAAGGCATATTGTATCTAGTCTTCTGTCTTATCCACTAAGCCTAATTTCTACCAAATAAATAAATTAGACTGATTTGATATAAATTAGACTAAATGGATATGATTTATCTTTGAAAAATCTGTTTGGTGTTTTTTCTTTGTTTTGTTGTCATCTCATCCTCTAATTGTTTACGAACTGGCATAAGTACTTTGTTCTTCTCTCTAGTCCTCTGTGATTTCTCCTGTCCTCGTGACTTCTTGAAAATAATTGCTAATGTTTAAGATAGTGCTTTGACTAGTTCCTTAAGGGAACTACAGAAGAGCACTGAACTGACAGTAGGGGCTGGTCTTTTGACACTCTCTGAGAATGACTCCAATCCCTTTCCCCTGCCAGATCCATCAGTCTGCTCTCTGTTCCCTACCTTCTGCCTGATCTGCTTGCTCTGCTTTTTGTGGCCATTCCAGATGTAGTACTTTAAGAAAACTTGATGCATATGCTCAGTCATCCCTTGGGGGGGCAAATCGGGGTGGCTGCCCCAGGTCTTGTGCTTTGGGGAGCCCCGCAGACAGAGCCATACAGGCCCTGAGGAAAGCACCATTGGCACATGCCAAGGGCATAACCAGTCTGCATGGCTGCTGTGCACTGCTAGCTCCACACTCCAGCCGCTTTCCACTCCCCTCGTGCTCCAGCCACTTGCCACCCTGCCCCCCCGCACAGGCCCTGTACACGCTGATATGCCTCGGGCTCTGCACACCCCTACGCGTCTGTTAAAGACATGGGCCTACAGTCCAGAGTGAGCTAATGTGCTTCCAGCTCAATTTTCCCTTTGCTTTCGTACTCTCTGTCCACAGCCTTGCCTCTACTAATCATTACAATTTCAAGGCTACTCACCAATGGGGATTTGATCACTGTGCTATCAAGCAAGCTCTCTCAAGGTCCTGGGCCAGCCCCGACTGGTAGAGCCTTGACTGTATCTGAGATGCAGGGAACTTGTCTGACTTTTTATAGCAAAATACAATCTTGATAGTGAGAGACAAACATCCCTGCAGTGGTAGTAGTTTCTCTTACAATCCTGCCATGCTTGTTCTAGCATCACCTAAAGTCTCATGTCCAGCAGGGGATGCTTCCCTCAGGCAACACCAGGGGCTGCTTTGGAAAGGACAGGGATGCCCTCTCTCTCTTTCCCAGATTGTCTGCTCTTAATGTTGCTCCTATTGATCCCTAGCCAGAAAGGAGTAAACTGGGATGAGAGAATGGGGTGGAGGAAGCGGGTGGGGAGAAGGAAGGAAATGGGGATAACACGCAGTTTCACTGGAGCCCCACCAGCTAAAGGAAGGCTGGCAAGATGGGAGGGTCTCAGAGAACTGGGCATCCCCTGGAGCCCCTGCTTCCTTTACTTCTTGTCACTCCAGCTTAATGCTGTTTGGAGCCCCTATCCCAAAGAATCGGGGTGAGGCTCACTGGTTGCTCCCTGGTCTCATTTGAGATCAATCTGGACACAGAAATAAACTTACTGACATGTTTCACGTTATGGTTACTATGGCTGTTTTTACACGGTACAGGCAGTCTTCGACTTACAATGTTTTGAGTTACAACGTTTCACACTTACAGCTTTTAAAAATTGACACCCTGTTTCAACTTTATGATGTCAGTTTTGACTTACCAATGTTTGATCTGATACAATGCCATGCCAGTGAACAAGTTTGCTACGTCGCCAATCTCCCTGGAGAACGTCTGTCCAAACTTCCTTGGACACTTTGTTTAAGAAAGCA